TTTCACCCTCTCCCAATGTGTTCGCGTGAGCGACAAATAATCTGCTAAGTGTGCAATACCGGTTGCAGATGATGTTAAGTAATTTTGTGATTTTCTCAGCGAATCCAGGTCAGGTATAGGGTGTGGGCGGAAGGGGCGGGGTGAAGGGGGCCTCGATTAGGTCTTTAGCCAACCTTGAACCTTATAATGCTGATAAACTCAAGTACAAAAATGACGCGAATTCAATCAAAGTCCCACCTGATTTGAAGTGAAATACTTCAAAATAGAAGATCAGAATTTGTGGATGCGCTATATTACGGGACACTTATCAAACATACATTTCCGATGATGGAAAAAAATAGGACACGTATAGAAAAATAGGACTCATATTTTAATTAGTTATTTTTTATACTTGATTTTGATTAGAAACGTTTTTAGTTTATTATCATTATAATTATCAGTCATCATATTGTAGAATGCCCAAATACCTTCTTTGACAACTCTTGGTACATTATTTCGTATGGGGGAAAAAGATGGGATATCATATTGGTTTGGTAATAAGGGCTGGAAGCTAGACCTGGGTAAGTGGAGTACCGCTGACCATTTGCAAATGGAGCAAATGGAACCCAGGTGGTGAAGATATGGCTGGTATATTGAAGGGATAACCCGGAAATCCGACACAGAGCGTAATTTCTGTAATATGGCCTTCCATTGAATACGCGCCTTATATTTGTGAGATGCCCAAGGGTAAGAAAGAGTTACTCTTCATTTTAGATTTGAACTAAAAAGCACAGCAAAAGTACTTAGGAGTAATGAAACATTGGCAAGCAAACGTTAGGAAAACTTGCGTCATCATAACAGAAATTAAAGAACTTCTAACAGTCAGGATCAGGATCAAGCTTACACATCTATTTGCATGAGTGCAACGTGGATGTAAAATTATCAACAATCATGTCCACGATATAAATGCCTAATCCAAGAAATCATGAACTGGGAGAACTAAGAGAAAACGAATTCTCTTAAGAGAACTTATCCTCGTGACCTATTATGGTTTATTTAAGTCTAATTTAAATTTTGCGCCACGCGGAGAAGCTATTCTTATTTATACCTCCCATGATTGCGTGGTTAATAAGCCATAAAGCTGATG